GCGTTGAATATTTTCAGAGCAGGAGCGTTTCTGTCCATCCGAACGACATGGCCAAGCCAGCGGAGCCGCTGAATTTTAATTCGCTGCACTATGTCTACATCGTTGTAAAGCTCATACAGCTCATCGTTAAATCGTCTGCGATATTCGCCATCACCAACGCGTAAAGGTCCGTAAATCTTTCGCAGAATCTTTCTCTCGAAAACTCCAAGAGCCGCCTCATCAGATGCTTTCATTGTCCATGCTTCCGCACCATACACCAGCACAGGCACGATGAGTGACTTATAGAGTGTGATCTTTGTACGACGAGAGAGGACTTTACTTCTCAATTGCCTACTCAGCCCAAAGTAGCACTTGTTGGCAAGAGTGATTCTCCGTTGGATTTCAAGGCTGACATTATTATTGGTGTTAATGCTGGTTCCCAAATAAACGAAGTCGTCTACTTTTTCAAACTTGTAACTGTCAACAGTGACGTGGGTGCCAAGACGCGTATGCTCTGACTGTTTGTGTGCTGACAGGAGATACTTCGTTTTGTCCTCGTTCACCACCAGACCCATTCGCTTTGCTTCTCTATCCAATCCCGAGAAGGCAGAACCGACGTAGCCCTTGTTTTTACCGATAATATCGATGTCGTCGGCATACGCCAGCAATTGTACGCTCTTATAAAGTATTGTGCCTGAGCGGTTCAGTTCTGCGGCTCTTATTATCTTCTCCAACATAAGATTAAAGAAATCACACGAAAGGGGGTCCCCTTGTCTGAAACCTCGTTTGGTATCAAACGGCTCGGAGAGGTCCTTCCCTATTCTGACGGAGCTGGTGGTATTGCTCAACGTCATTTTACACAGCCGTATTAGGTTCGCGGGGATACCAAATTCAGACATCGCGGCATAAAGGCAACTTCTCTTCGTGCTGTCGAAAGCGGCTTTGAAATCGACAAATAGATGGTGTGTGTCGATCCTATTCTCGCGGGTCTTTTCCAAGATTTGGCGTATTGTGAATACCTGATCTATGGTGGATTTTCCAGGCCTAAAGCCACACTGATAAGGTCCAATCAGCTCGTTGAGGGTGGGCTTCAGTCTTTCGCACAATACGCTCGATAAGACCTTGTAACCTATGCTTAGAAGGCTAATTCCGCGGTAGTTGGCGCGTATGGCGGGGTCGCCTTTCTTGTGGATTGGCCAGAGCACACTTAAATTCCAGTCGTCGGGCATGCGTTCATCTGACCATATTCTGCATACGAGCTGATGCATGCACCTCATCAGCTCCTCGCCGCCGTACTTGAATAGCTCGGCTGGCAGGCCGTCAGCTCCAGCAGCTTTGTTGTTTTTCAGCCGCGTAATCGCTATTCGTACCCCGTCATAGTCAGGCGGTGGGACAGCTACTCCGTCATCATCGACTGGGGACTCGGGTTCGTCTTCCTCACTACTTTCAGCGCTGCTACCATTCAGTAGGTTATAAAAGTGTTCCCTCCACAATTTAAGTATATTCTGGACATCGGTCACTAGGTCGCCAGTGTTGTTCTTACAGGAGTTCGCCCCGGTCTTGAAACCTTCCGTAAGTCGCCTAACCCTCTGGTAGAATTTTCGGGCGTTCTTCCTGTCGGCCAGCATCTCAAGCTCTTCGCACTCACGTATTTCGGCCTCTCTCTTCTTATTGCGGCAAATACGTCTCGCTTCCTTCTTCAGTTCCCTATAACGGTCCCACATGGCTCGCGTTGCGCCCGATCGCAGCGTGGCCCTGTAGGCGGCATCTTTTTTCTCTGCGGCTTCTTGACATTCCTCATGATCGAGCCTTTTTGATCACCCTCACTAAAAATCGAGCACAAGCGAACGCCACACTCGGCCACTATGTGTTCGATCGAGATGCACACCCGAGAGCTGCTTTGAGTACGAACGAGCCTGTTCGATCACCCTCGCTAAAAATTGAGCACAAGCGAACACCACACTCGGACACCCGCAGCTAACCCGAAAATTTGTGTAACAATGAAACGGACACCCGAAAATTGCGATAAAACGCAGGACAACAACCAAATTTACGCTGAAGGTAACTGGCGCCAATATGTTCCAACAAAGCATACGCAAGTGTTGTTGCTTTGTGCTTGTGCATACGCAATGAAAAAAATTAGAAGCGAAGTAGACAAAAATGTTTGTGCATCTATTTCGTATAGTTTCGCGTGGAATGCTGTGTGTGTATATATTAGAACACACAGCCTAAAACTATGTAGGCACATAAATACTTTTACAAAAAAATAAATGTGCACCGAGTGCATAGGGCTTGGGCATTGCCGATCTACACACATTTAATACCTACATGGATGTAGGCGCCGTGATGTCGCATTTTGTCTGAGCAAAAATATAAGAAATGGTAAAATGTACACTTAAACAAACTATAATATTGAAATAAGGATTTTTTACCCTAGGAAAGAAGCATTTTAAAATGCAAATTTTAATATTTGTAGATATGAGCGTATCGACCTTAACAGAAAACCCAATTAAAAATCAGAGGCGAATACGGAGAATAAAACCGTATTTAAGTGTGTAATTTTTTACAATATATGTATGTATGTACATATGTATATCTGTGTTCGTATGGAATAATAGCTTATGTCGAAAGGCTGGCTTTAGTATAATGCGGCATTCGCAGCATACGTTTGCTAATGACTCATCGGCGCCGAGCCGTTGAAGAACTTTTGGCAAATAAATGCGCAAGAAATACTAGCAAGACAATATTCTTATTAAGTCTCATCAAAAAATTCCTTGTCATTTAAAGAATAAAGAGAATGCCGCATTATACTAAAGCCAGCTTCCCGACATAAGCTACTGTTCCATACGAACACAGATATACCTACTTACCATCACGTATTGAAAATAAAGAAAATTGTTTTAATTTCGGTTTTCATATATAAATATAATAAACAGAAAACATTTATTGTACATAACTGTACTTTTTATTATATTAGACTTTGTAAAAAAAAACATTTCAATTTAACTACATAAAAAAGTTATTAATAAAGCATTCCATGCTATTTATCACTCTTAAAATTACTTATAAATAAATAAAGCTAGCTTTCAAACTTTTTACTTTTTTTTATATGGTGTTTGCTGTATAACGAGCTAGACTTTTATAAAAAGGTATTAAACATTAAATAAACAAATAAATATAGCCAAAACTGGTCAAAATAAGGTGAGTAATTCTTTCTGTGTACATAAAAAAATATATTCTGTCGAATTGATAACCGCCCCTTTTTTGAGTCGATTAAAAAAAAATAAACGGTAATTTCATACATATGTAAATACATCTTACAGTTTTCAAACTTTCAAGCATTAACTATAGTTTTTATAATATGAATTTAAGAACAGCAAGCTGTCAACAGATCCCGGCGCTAGTCTATTTCTTTTTTCAGTAATTAAGTTACCAGCCAAAGAAAAAGATCTCTCAGCCGCTGCACTGCTGGCTGGCGTTGAATGAATCTGCAATGCAAGCTTTGATAAATACGGGTATTTATCCCGATTGTTTTGCCACCACTCCATCAAATTAAAATTTTCAGTCATCTCTACTACTTCTTTGCTATATCTCTCTACTTCGCCTTCAGGTGTCTCTATGGTTTTCGAGGCAGATTGTTTAATCAAATTAGAGAAAAAGAATGCGTCGCTGTTAGTTTTTGAAGTTGAATAATGAACTGAATGACTTTGGTCTATTTGATTACTTTCATTAAAAGAAAAATGTGATACCGAATCAGATGAGGGGTTGATTGGGCTTAAAGAGTCGCTTTCCACAGATGTTGTCGTAGAATCTGGTGCT